AAAAAGACCTATAAAGCAGAATGCAAGAATATGAGTTTATAAATATGAGCAGATATCTCGTCTTACATTTAGGCTATGTAAACTCATAAGGGTATTCACTGAATAAAGTGACTGGGTCAAATACACATCAGTGATTCTCAGGCTCAATTTTGATAATCCTTCAGGATTTCTCAGATATACTGCATAATATTATAACAGTCAAAAAACAAACTTATTTAATTCTAATTCACTTTAACAAGCATGTGACTTTTATAAAGATGGTAGACTAACATTAAAAAAATAGGCTATTATAGCCCCATATAGTTAGAAAAATAGGAGATTTTTAAGACAAAGGAATTTTACCACTTTGACATGAAAATTCAATCTTAAGGGGGAAAAAAAAAAAACAGGGTGCCTGGGTGGCTCTGTCAGTTAAGCATCCAACTCTGGGTCTCAGCTCAGGTCTTGATCTCAGGGTTGTTGAGTTCAAGCCCAGTGCTAGACTCCATGCTGGACATGAAGCCTACTTAAAAAAAAAAAAATAAAATAAAATAAAATTTGAAAACACAAACACAACTATTTATTTAAACATTTTATTTGGCTATTTACTTAACTGAACAAATCAGACTTTTAGTTTAGGATTAATATAAACAACCCCAAATGTCTGTAATGTAAGGAGGAGAAATGTGCACCATCAACTTTCAATACAGAGCATCCAGAATCAAATTAAAAACATTCACTCATTCAAGTGAATCCCCTATACCCAGCCTCTGTGTTAGTGAAAATAAACATTACAATGGTGAGTAATAAGTCATCTTTTTTTACTTGAGTATGTTTATAATCTAGAGATTACTAACCAAGTCCCCAAAGCCTGCAAGAATTAAAACTCTGGCTCCTCTTGGAAGAGATACATTTCCACTTAGCTTATAAGCTCTTGTTAATGATCCTTGAGGGCATCTGAACAGGAACAGGTCAGAGAACAGAGCCAGGGTGCCTCATCTTGATAACTGGAGAACGTTTATGATGATAATACTAAAATACTCACTGAAAACAGTGGCCAGTTTTCCCACATTGAACAGATATAAACGCACACTTGCAGGGCACAAAATGAATAAACTAGGTGAAATCTGAACAAACAACTGTGAAAGTGCAAGCCACCTTACAAATTTAATACAGGAGTTCCTAAGTACTACTCCTATACTCTATCAGAATCAACAGGAGAACTCAGAGAGAAGGAAGAACATCTTTCCAGATAATTTAGATTAGAACTTCAAATACAGATGTAAACCAAACTCTTCAACTGCTACTCAAATTTGCTTTCTTTTTCCCGAAACCCCTCTTCTCATTCAGGTTACATTTCTTTCTCCTTCCTCCCCTAACCGTTCCTTTCTTTCTCTAAAAATCACTTTAGCAATGTTGAAGAAGCCATGGCTACTGTAAAAGCTATTTGTTATATAGTACCACACTTAAGTTTTGTAAAATAGGAAATTAAAAGGAACTGGAAATTAAAAGGAAAGCCAGAGACTATGACAACTGTACACTCCATTCAAAGCAAAAGAATATTTGCTAAGTGCCAGTGATTATACTAGAGAATGTTTAACAGCTCTGGAGAAAGGAGCCATGATCTGCAGTATTTACCTACTTCCCTGGTGTAGATCCTCCCAACACCATCAATTTCAAACTATCAACATGAGATCACAGGGAACTGAGAACAGTATCTACCCACAAATCAAATTTACCAAATTCAATTACAACACTGGAAGGGCTCACAAGCTGCCAGTAACTAGACTTACTCTCAATTCTTTATGGCAGATCTTTAAGGAAGAATATCCCTCTTACACCTAATCTAATTTGTTCTTCCTGTCACTAAATTTTAATTTGGCAAGACATAAAAAAAAAAAA